ATGACAGCGCGGTGCGGGCCACAAAGCAAGGCCTGGCGGGACGGATTTGGCCGGCGGGCCTTGTGTTTGACACATGTGCTGTAGACAGACAGCTCCCTCCACCCTATAGACAGACAGCTCCCTCCACCCTATAGACAGACAGCTCCCTCCACCCTATAGACAGACAGCTCCCTCCGCCCTAAAGACAGACAGCTCCCTCCACCCTACAGACAGCTCCCTCCACCCTATAGACAGACAGCTCCCTCCACCCTATAGAAAGAGAGCTCCCTCTACTCTATAGACAGACAGCTCACTCCACCCTATAGACAGCCAGCTCCCTCCACTCTATAGACAGACAGCTCCCTCCACTCTATAGACAGACAGCTCTCTCCACCCTATAGACAGACAGCTCCCTCCACCCTATAGACAGACACCTCGCCCCACGCTATAGACAGACAGCTCCCTCCACCCTATAGACAGCCAGCTCCATATACCCTATAGACAGACAGCTCTCTCCACCCTATAGACAGACAGCTCCCTCCACCCTATAGACAGACACCTCCCCCCACCCTATAGACAGACAGCTCCCTCCACCCTATAGACAGACAGCTCACTCCACCCTGTGACAGACACCTCCCCCTATAGACAGACAGCTCCCTCTACTCTATAGACAGACAGCTCCCTCCACCCTATAGACAGACAGCTGCCTCCACCCTATAGACAGACAGCTCCTTCCACCATATAGACAGACAGCTCCCTCCACCCTACAGACAGCTCCCTCCACCCTATAGACAGACAGCTCCCTCCACCCTATAGACAGACAGCTCCCTCCACCCTATAGACAGACAGCTCCCTCCACCCTATAGACAGACAGCTCCCTCCACCCTATAGACAGCCATCTCTCTCTACCCTTTAGACAGACAGCTCCCTCCACCCTATAGACAGACAGCTCCCTCCACCCTATAGACAGACAGCTCCCTTCACCCTATAGACACAGCTCCTTCCACCCTATAGACACAGCTCCCTCCACCCTATACACAGCCAGCTCTCCCCACCCTATAGACGGAGCTCCCTCCACCCTACAGACAGACAGCTCCCTCCATCCTATAGACAGCCATCTCTCTCTACCATTTAGTCAGCCAGCTCCCTCCATCCTATAGACAGACAGCTCCCTCCACCCTATAGACAGACAGCTCCCTCCACCCTATAGACAGACAGCTCCCTCCACCCTATAGACAGACAGCTCCCTCCACTCTATAGACAGACAGCTCTCTCCACCCTATAGACAGACAGCTCCCTCCACCCTATAGACAGACAGCTCCCTCCACCCTATAGACAGACAGCTCCCTCGACCCTGTGACAGACACCTCCCCCTATAGACAGACAGCTCCCTCTACTCTATAGACAGACAGCTCCCTCCACCCTATAGACAGCCAGCTCCATCTACCCTATAGACAGACAGCTCTCTCCACCCTATAGACAGACAGCTCCCCCCACCCTATGGACAGACACCTCCCCCCACCCTATAGACAGACAGCTCCCTCCACCCTATAGACAGACAGCTCCCTCCACCCTGTGACAGACACCTCCCCCTATAGACAGACAGCTCTCTCCACCCTATAGACAGACAGCTCCCTCCACCCTATAGACAACTCCCTCCACCCTACAGACAGACAGCTCCCTCCACCCTATAGACAGACAGCTCCCTCCACCCTATAGACAGCTCCCTCCACCCTACAGACAGACAGCTCCCTCCACCCTACAGACAGCTCCCTCCACCCCATAGACAGACAGCTCCCTCCACCCTATAGACAGACACAGTCCTCCACCTGTGACAGACCCTCCACCCATAGACACAGCTCCCTCCACCCCATAGACAGACAGCTCCCTCCACCCTATAGACAGACAGCTCCCTCCACCCTATAGACAGACAGCTCCCTCCACCCTATAGACAGACAGCTCCCTCCACCCCATAGACAGACAGCTCCCTCCACCCTATAGACAGACAGCTCCCTCCACCCTATAGACAGACAGCTCCCTCCACCCTATAGACAGACAGCTCCCTCCACCCTATAGACAGACAGCTCCCTCCACCCTATAGACAGACAGCTCCCTCCACCTCAACAGCTCCCTCCACCTAGACAGCTCCTTCTACCCTATAGACAGCCAGCTCCCTCCACTCTATAGACAGACAGCTCCCTCCACTCTATAGACAGACAGCTCCCTCCACCCTATAGACAGACAGCTCCCTCCACCCTATAGACAGACACCTCGCCCCACGCTATAGACAGACAGCTCCCTCCACCCTATAGACAGCCAGCTCCATATACCCTATAGACAGACAGCTCTCTCCACCCTATAGACAGACAGCTCCATCCACCCTATAGACACAGCTCCCTCCACCCCTATAGACA